TCATGGGAACTTTACGTCTTTGATTTTATATTTACTTTTCACAGAAAATTTTGATTTTTCTTGACCACATTTAAAAAGAAAATAATAAGGTCTTATTATGTAGCTCTGGTTGGCCTGGAACTTATTATCAGGCTGGCCTGGAACTCACATAGATCCTCTTGCTTCTGTCTCCTGAATGTTGGAATCAAAGGTGTTCACCACCACATCTGGTCAAGCATAATTTTGTATTTGCTTTATTGTACCATACATAAATAAAAGTCTCAAAATAAAAACAGTCTATTAAAGTTATGTTAACACCTCTAAAGCAACCAAAAAGCTAGGCCATGCGTATCTACTTCCTTCCTCAGGAAAGGGGCAGACAGGACAGTGTGCAGCTTGGTGTGAGAGTCAAGGAAGGCCTTGGGATTGCCTCATCTTGTGAGTGGTGAGGCTGAGATGGAACAGCAAATACAAATTCAAAGACAGAATCCTGGAGAAGTCACACTCGGATCTGAGGTCTCTTGTCGCCCATCCTCACTTTGTGGCTTTCATGGTTTGGTTCTTAAGTGTCTTCCAAATCCCATATGCTAAATGTTTGGCCATCACATTGTGGCATTACTAGGAAGTGATAGAACTTTTAAGGGGTGGAACCTGGTCGGGGAGTTAGGTCATTGGAGTCAAGCTCCTGACGGGGTCCTGGGATCCTCAACCCCTTTCGTTCCCTTTGACCTGCTGGCTTCCAAAGTGAGCAGATCTTTGCCTTGTGCTTCTACCTTGATATGTGGCCTCTTCATAGGCCCAAAGCAACAGGACTAACTGACCGTGGACTGAAATCATGAGTCAAATACACACTCTCCCTCTTTAAGCTGCCTTGTCTTGAGCATTTTTGTCACAATGATGGAAAGTTGAGTTAAGTGAGCAGCAGAAACAGACGGTGACCACACTGTGGGCTCACCATCTGCAAAGGGGTAAAAAAAAAAGAAAAGAAAATGTGATCACTGAGAGCAAAGAATTTGCTCAAATGAGCTTTGAAATTACTTTGTAATTACAGCAGCGATGCCCTGGCTTTGTGTTAAATTTAGAAGACGCGACCATTGCATAAAGGAAAGCCTCATGCTCTAAGACTCCACTCTTGAGGTACAGTAACCATGAACATTGTACTTTTGCAAGGTGGTTCAATACATAGGGTTAACGTCTCCGGTAAAACTAGGGGCTGATGGTGGGTTGTGAAATGTTTCCCATGTCCCATTCAGGAAGGGGAAGAGTGGCAGTTTCCAGGCCAAGAGCAGATTGTCCGTCTATCTCATCCAGCTCTTCATGCCATTGGCTCACTCATTCAGCAGGTAGTCAGTGAGCATTTACCACGTGCCTGACCCTGTACACTGGTAATACAAGCATAAAAGACATGGTTGAAACAAGCCCTTGCTCTGTAAAGATTCCATTTTAGCCAGATAAATCCGATGGCTAATTCATATGACCATGAACAAGCAGACACTGTGAAGTTAGACCATGGCATCTCCTGTCACCTTCCTGACTAAGTGTGGCTGTGCCATGCCCAGCTATGCTACTAACACAGAGAAGCTTCTAGATGACCAATACACTCTAGGTCCTCATCAGTAATACAGAAGCTTAAACTCCATGTAGACACACTGAATCGCAATTTGCTTTGCACTGAAATTCACAGGCCCACTAGGTTTGAGAAGCACTCATGGGAAGACCGAGTAGGAATGTGCAGGCATTGCAGGAAGTTCATTCCACAATGAAAGCCTGCTGGCTCTACGCATGGCCCAGGCTGTGAAGATACTTGGTGTTTCGGGGCAATGAAGGAAGGTCAATATTCTGGCTGATGAGGAATTGTGCATGAGTAGTCTGCATTGAATAGGTCCTCAGAGGTCCTTGGTTTGGGGCTCGGTGTCTGCTCTGGAGGCCCCTGCCCCCAGCTTCCTCCTCTGTCATGGTGCAATGACCTTCTTCGCGTGCCCTTAGTCTGCTGAGACCCATACCTGTCAGTGTGCTTCAAACCTGTCCACAACGCTGCAGTCCTATTGCTGCTGCCTTGAGGAGAAACAGATGAGCCACTTGCTGCAGGATGTCCAACTGCACATCATCCTGCTGGCAGAGCAGCTGGTGAGGTCAAAACCTCCAGAGTCCCCAAAGTGAGAGATGAAATCAGGCTGCCTTCTGCTCCAACCTTGAATATTGGGAAGATGTGGGCAAGAGAAGTGGGTGGGGACAAACAGGGGGTTATGGGGAAAGTTACAAAGGATGGCACTAGAGGGTCCCAGGTGCCCCTGGGACAAATCCTCTGACTCATCCTCACTCTCTGCTCTGGGCTGAGCACTCTGGCTTATTAGGAACTCTTTGTGGGGTCTGTTGCCAAATACATGGCTCACTCAGGAAGCTTGAAGGAAAAAAAAGAAATAAAAGCAAAACAATCACGAAAGAAATCAACTGAATATCCAAGCACCCTTCCCAAAACACAGGATTCGAATTTCACGCAGAGTTGTGTTCAAGCCTGCTATTGACTCCTATGGATCGGATTGAAGTATCTGGTTCCCCAAGCTCTTAACTGTGAGCAAAATTCTGCCTTGGATACAACTCGGTAATTGTAAACCTCACTTGGATGTGGAGCAGGTGACCCAGAGAGCTCCTGTTTGCTCTCCGTTTTCACGTTCTATTATGTAGCTCCCAGCACTGAGTCAGTCAACCAGCCTGACTTATAACCCGAAACCACCCCATGTCCTGTGTATCTGTTACTGACGTTTATGGAACTCAGGTCCTCAAAGGTGTTCACACTTAGCGCCACGTACCTCGCCGCTGCCCTTAATACCGTGGAAGGCTTTTGAAATCTGATTTTAAATTCTTAACTGAATTTGAGATGCTTTTCAAAACATTCCAGATTTTGGTGCATTTTGGATTTCGGATTAGGGACGTTCAGCCTGGGAATGTATCTGGGAACCTGAAAATTTCCAAAATCAGAAACACCTTTGGGCCGGTAATCCCTATGAACTGATGTGTGTGACGCTGTGTAATGCGCAGAAGTTAGCATTCCATGGCTCCTCCCCTCCCACCAACTTATCTTTCTGCTGCCTTTTCTGTGATGCCCTCTGAGCCTTCGATGTGGGGGTGGGAGTTGATGTAGATGACTCTTCCACAGCCCAACACTCCCAATACTGGGCACTTAGACGACTTAGGGGTTTCTGCATTAACCGTTACCCATTGCAAAAAGAAGCTTTTCTAACCAAAGTTCAGAGCAACAAAGATCTATAGGTGTGGGCATATTATTTAGAAAGCAGTTTGACAACATGATGCTTAAGTGATACAATTATCATTTTTCCTAGGGCCTGTGATCTGCCCAGTAGTGGGCTTCTGACCATGTTTATAGACCAGTCATGAAATCCCTCCAATAGAGCAGGCCTCACATGTGCCCATACCCATGAAACCACTATTTTATTAGTGGGTGCATCTTGCCAGGCAAGTTGGTATCGCAGCATTCAGAGTTGGAGTTGGTTCATTTTTGCAGCCATATGGTAGTGTAGTCCCCTATACTTACATGCCAGAGGTTTCTTCATTCCACTTTGGATGGGCATCTACCTTATCATTTCTCCCCTTACAAACAAGGCAACCACAGTTGCTTGGTATGTGTATCTTAGCACACGGAAGCATTTTTCTAGAATTGGGAAATTGCTCCCCGGAGGGAGATGTTGGGACAATTTGAAATATGAAAAAGTTAATTCAAAGACCATTTGGGAATGGCACATGTGCCCAATTTCCCAGAGAGTAAGGGGGCAGAGAGTAAGAGAGAAGGGTCAGAAGTGTTAGTCTGGGCTACAAAGTGAGACTTTATCTCAAAAAGAATTGACATGAAGGAACTTGGTGTTTATTTTTTTTTTCTGAGGCACGCATACACATACACTTGTGCGGTGAAATATAAGGCAAAAATAATTCAGGCTTCTGTCCAGCTTCAGATCTTCCTGCACCTGCCTGGAATACTTGAATTATATATGTGAGCCACAATTCCAGCCCTATACAATCTCTTTATTTTTCTCTTTTAAGTATTAAAATGAAGGGACAGCCAGGATTGCACAGAGAAACCTTGACAGAAATGGTTAATGTTCTACAGAACATAAAAGATAATGTGTTCTAACCAGTGGCTTCCTGACAGTGCCTATTTCTGCTCTGCCTTCTAGTTTTTTTTTTTTTTTTTTTTTCCTCCAGACCCTTTAAGGAAGCTCTGCTAATAGGAAAACACTTTCTTCAGCGCTTAGGAATGCTAGGCTCAAAGTGCAGGCCAGTCTCACCAAGCTAGGTCACTTGGGCAGTCAAGAACTGAAGACCTGATTGTTCCCAGCACACCCTCCCCCAAAGACGGGGTGCCTGGAGGTCTTGGGGATGACGCTGAGCTAGTAGACAGCTTCAGAAGGATCCTGGGTCCAGGGACCAGTAGGAGGAAACTATTAAGAAGTTATTAAGAGGACAGAGGCACTCTTCTGCCCAACAGGTTTCTGCAGTGAAAACAGCGATCGAAATAACCCTTTCCCCGGGGGTGAGGTGCAACGGACATCAGGGTCAAATGACGCCCAGAAAGACCTGTTGTCAGCTTCCAGTGTCTCTGCTCCACATTGGTCTTTAGAGACTTTCTACGACAGCGTAAATAAAGGCTTAGTCTCTCTCCCCTCCTGTGGGCAGAAGAGCGTTTCTGGAAGCCACTTACAAATCTGAATGCTAGACATTATCTATTGACAACAGTCTAAGAAACGCACAATGCATGTGTTTTCAGCGGGCAGTCCTACCAGCTGGACTTCCTAAGCTCCTCCGTATTCATTCTTTCCCGGGAGACCCTGTCCCTCACAATTCCACATGTCCTTTTGGCGGACAACCCTTGGGGTGGCTGGTAGACCTCCTGGGGGCTCCTCCTTGGCGAACGACACCGTCTCGCTTTCTGGTTGCTGTGTCGCGCCGCGTCCCGAGCCTCCGCCAGGCTAAGGCACGACCGGAATGCGCTGGAGGACTCGGGGCGGAGACGCCGGTAACCGAGGGGACACAGGGCGGGCCTGCCTGAGTCCCGGTCCAGGCCACGCACAGGCCGGGCAGATCGAGGGCGGCGCGGGGACCAGCACCAGGCCCACTGTCCGAATTGCCGCACTGTTTGGTCCCGCGTCCCTGCCCAGTGCGGCGCCGCCCGGGGACTCCCGACTCCAGCGACTTGCCGATCTCACCCCTGCGCGGGCCGGGCAGAGTGCTCAACTCCGGGCTGGAGAATCCCGAGGATCGGAAGTAGTAGGAAAGAAAGTCTCCCTGGCAGCGCCGGGCCAGCATCGCCTAGGAACCGGCAGACTGGGGAGGCAGCGCCGCGCGTGGAGCGCTCGGCCAGGACAGCCCTCGGCGGGTCAGCTGGAGGCGGAGGGAGGCGCGGCAGCCCGGACTCGACGTCGACGCCCGCGCCGCCCGCGATGGGAAGTGCCTTATAAAGCCGCGGCTTGCGCGGCAGGACAGACTCCTGGCGGCGCCGCCCTGAGCGCGGACCGCACGCAGCCGCTCCAGAGAGTGCAGGGAGCCGGGGCATATCTGCGGGGCACCAACCTCGCCCCACAAGGACTCTTAACCGCCGTGTGGGGGTTCGACCGCGTCCTAAGAACACTCCCCTCCCCCCCCCCCCGATCGCCACTGTCCGGAACCACTCTGCCCAGGCGGACCCCGGGTGGGGGCCGAGGGCGCCCCCGGCGGCAGGGGTATGCGCGGTCCGCGGCATGGCCTCGGCGGTGTTTGAGGGCACGTCGCTCGTGAACATGTTCGTGCGCGGCTGCTGGGTGAACGGGATCCGCCGGCTCATCGTCAGCCGGCGCGGCGACGAGGAGGAGTTCTTCGAGATCCGCACCGAGTGGTCGGACCGCAGCGTGCTCTACTTGCACCGCAGCTTCGCAGACCTGGGTCGCCTGTGCAAGCGCCTCCGCGACGCCTTCCCCGAGGACCGGCCCGAGCTGGCCCGCGCGCCGCTGCGGCAAGGTGCGGGGTTGCAGGACTGGGGGCTGCGGGACACCGGGCTACGGGGCGCCGGGGGCTGCGGGCTGCGGGAGTGGCGCTGGGGGAGGAATCGAGCCAAGAGATCCTGTCAAAGTGCAATGAAGTCAGAGAGGGAAGAGTTACTTAAACTGAGACTGTTTCTTCCCTCTACTGGTCGGCACCTGACATCTAGACCCCGGGTGTCCCGAAGAAGGGTACCCAGCTGTGGTTCAGGAAGGACTGGGAGCCGGCACACACTCGTGGAGGATAAATGAGATGGGTGGGAAAGGGGACGAGGTCACCAGGACTCTCACCCGACTGTCCCAAAGAATGAGTCTGAAGAAGGCAGAGTTTTGCGAGGCGACACCCGGGACTGACAGCTACCTACTGGGTTCCAGCCGCCTTCCCCGCTATGGAGAACCAGTGGCGGCTCGAGTGGGTTTGCTGAAGAGAGTAGAGACAGTTATAGAGTGTCGGAATTGGGTGATTGCATCGAGTACGATCGCTGCCGGGGTCTTGCCTGGGAGAGCCCCGGACCCTATTTTGCCCCAGGACAGTTGAGCCTGAGCGTGAAGTGCCACGCAGCAATTTTTACCACCTCTCCTAGGAGGAGACCGCCCCGCCTGCGTCTGTCGGGCCAACCCAGGGTCCCCACCCCTGAGCTGGGTCCGCATTCGGATTTGATTAGCTATGGCCGCCTCCTCCTTGGCCTTGTGATGGTCCTGGTTGGCTGTGACTCTTGTTTTCTCAAACAGCGGTGGCTTCCCCTTTCCTGCTGCCAGCAAAGGGACTGGAAGAGGGGAGGAAACCAGAGAGGCCTTGGTTGAGACCGGGAAGAATGAGGTGTGGGACACTTAGCTGCGGACAGGAGAGATGGATGGTTTCTGAGTAGACTTCCGGCCAGTGTGTGTGTGGCCTCCCGGGGCTCTGAGATCCACGAACCTTTTTTCAGAGTCCTCCAAGTAAGCAGCGATTCTGGGGCAGCTTCGAGCGAAGTTACTCAAGGTTAGCCAGTACACACCTCCTCGGTTAGCCAGTACACACCTCCTTGTCCGCCTGTCTAGCTAAGGTCCGAGATAACCTCCGTTCCCCCTGGTGATATGCCCCACCCGTGTGTGGATTATGACACATCCCCTGGCAGACACATCATTTGCACAGATTGCCAAAGTCTGCGAGTGTGGAGGCCCCACGACTGACAAGCCTGCCATCCCAGCCCCTCCCAGGGGCTGAGCACCATTTCAAGACTGGACCTGTTTTTATTGTTTCAAATTTGCTATTTGTTAAATTTCCAATGAATGTCTGATCAGGAAAGCATAACAAAGGGTCTGTGGTTTACTCAGTGGCTTCTCCTGGAACAGGCAGGCCATAAACTAGTTGAACTTCCAGGCAGTCCCTCTGACCTGGTCTCAGAACTCCGGTTACCCCAGGCAAACTGGAACCAGGTCTACGTCTAGGAGAGTGCCTATTGCCCTGAGGCTTTTGTGAGGAGTGAAAAGCCGGGTAGTGTCTGTTGACAGTAAGTCTACCACTCCTTTACCAGCTGGGCCAACCTCTTCTGGCCAGGGTGGCTGGAACAGAGGGTGTGGGAAGGGGTGTGACGGCTGAGTGGAGTCACAGGTGGAAAGGCCTTCCCTAAGGCGGTCGGGAGGGAGGAAACCATGGCGCTTGTTCACCTGGCCTCTTTTGCATTTATACAAACTTCTGGAATCATTTATACAAACTACTGGAATCACAGGTGCTTGACTGTCCCCATGGAGTCTCCAAAGAGTAAAACGAGGCCTATGGGAGCTGCCTTCAAGTCTGTAAAGGGTAGGAGAGCACAGAAGTGGGGGTTAGATGGGGTGATGGAGTGGCAGGGGCAGCTGGGGTGAGTCCCCGTGGCTGGAGGGAAGGGAGTCTCTGACAGCCTGCTATGTGACTGTTAGAACTGTCCGCCACTGGTGGCCATTCTTATCTGACGGAAACCTCTTACAAGGGTCCAGCTACTAGCGCCTAGACGGAATAAAGGTGAATTCCGGGAGCAGTAGAGGAGTGACCAGGAATCATGTTCCATTCTGATTCTTCTTTCTCCGCGTGGTTCTTCCCTAGGACCACCCCAGTTCTGTTTCACAAAGCCAGGAAGGCCCCTTTTCTTTCTTTGATCCCTTCAAGTTCGGGGAAGTCTTATACGAAGCAAAACACCTCATCCTAAGACAAAAGAAGATTCTACCTCGTTTCCATGCAAATTTCTTATTTGCATTAAAAAGATTGTCTTGATTTTCAAGCTTCAACCATGAAAGATATGCAGCTGGTATTTGAATTCCAGTCGGTCAGATTCTCAAGTATTTATTAGATTGCTAGGCTGAGTTAGGTTTGTGTCCTCGGTTCATTAGAGAAGCTTCCCAGGGAAAGGGGTCTCTGGGTTGCCCCTGGCAGGCTGAGCTCCTGACACAGTGGGCCAGCCATGGCTCCACCTTGCCTAGACTGAGCTCCTGACACAGTGGGCCAGCCATGGCTCCACCTTGTCTAGGCTGAGCTCCTGACGCAGTGGCCAGCCATGGCTCCACCTTGTCTAGGCTGAGCTCCTGACACAGTGGGCCAGCCATGGTTCTATCTTGAGCTTCTGAATCTTCATGCAGTTGAAGAGGTGCCAAGCCCTCAGCCTTGATTTCCCCCAGAATTGCTGTGAGAGAGATTTTAGATGGGGAGAATCGGACTTTTGTTCTCCCTCTGTGGTTTTATGCTTGGTGGATATCCATGACCTTTTTGTGTGTCCTGGCGACACAGGCGGAGACACGGTGCCACTGCATGGGGCGGAGGCCCAGTGCTCACTACCTTACCTTCCTGGCCTTCTGTTTCCATGACCTGGAGCAGTGCTGATCTCAGGACCTGTCTTGCTTCTGTCTGTATCGCTTCTTCACCAAACCAAGTCTCCCCAGACACTAACTCGCAGTAGGTTGGTAGCTCACAACCCAGGGCTGAAATAACCACTTCTTACTGTGTTGCCCTCCAGCCCTGGGAGAGGAGGTGGCTGAGCAGCTTCCTGTGGACGTCATGTCTGTGTTACCACAGTGGTCCCCCTCTTACTCTGCTGCCCTTTCATCACGGAGCTGTGTCTTGTGTTTTAAGTCCTCTATCGCGTGTATCGCCTGCTGGTTCAGATTGTGAGAGTGAGACCTCTCGGCTTTGTTTACTTCTCACACATAAGGTCTGCATTTGAAAGCAGAAACATTCAAAACTCTCCTGTCGACCATTTGAGGTTCTTGGAGTATTTTGATCCTCTTTTTTTAGTAGCACCCATTGCAGATCTGTGACATCCGAGCTGGCCTGATTACCTCTGCGGCTGCCGATTCTATTTCAAGGTGGCCAGGTGAGCTTGAGTCTTGGGTTTGCTTTCATTTATGTGGTCACATATTGGCTGCCAGGCACCGCGCAGGTGCAGGGAACAATGAAACGAGAAAACAACAACTAAAACCTTGTGACCTAGCTCTTTGATTCTTACATTTTGGTTGGGAGAAATGCATTAATAAACAAGATCACCAAGGAATAAAGAGATCACTGTGGCTGGAGAGGAGAGTATGGCTAGGGAGCTGGAGAGGGGCAGATGGTGCTCAGTCATGGTCTCCGTCATCCCCAAGGGCTCTGGGCCAGGGAACTGATTTGATCTGAATCAAACTCTAGTTGATGCTACTGAGAAAGATGGAATAGAGCAAGGGAGAGCAAGAGGCAGGGCTGCTGGAGCGAGGCATAACAGGGCAGGTGTGAGAAGGACATGACACTGATTGGCCTGGAAGAGAGAGCCATGGAGGCATCGCAAGTCTCTCACACTTGGTGTGTGGCACATAGCACAAGCCTAGAATTCTCCCACAGGGCTTGCCCTGCGCTGCAGTGGGGCCACCTCAGGGGATAATTGAGCCGAAGATGCTGCCTGAGGCTGCTAGCCAGCCTGGAACCTGGCATTTAGTGGCCCAGTTTGTAATGCGAACCTGTGCACAGCGTTTCTGTCCTGGCTATCTTTAATTTCATCACCAGTGATGAGCATCTTCAGTATTCAGGACATGGCCTCTCCCTAGACGTGAAAGCCACAGCTGGGACCGGACCAGGAAGGGTTGAACACTGATACAGCACCTGACTCCCACGCTGTAGACATGTGCTCAGTTCCCAAGGTCTACCCCAGGTCACCATCACATTGCCCTCACCTGGACATCAGGGAGAAATTGGATGTTACTACCAAACAGGGAAAATGGTGCTTGATGGATGTGCCAACCGCCACCCAGAAACACCAGCTTGACTTTCTCAGCGAGCGTGCTCCACACAGGTGTGGAAGCAGAGCAGGGCATGGAGTTGCCACCTCTGCCTGGCCTTTGATGTTGGGGTGGTGTGATGTTGCCCCTGACCTTTGCTGCAGCCACAATGCCATGTAGAGCTTCCTCGGGGCCACCCTGCTGTCCTATCCAGGCACTTCTATTGCTCCTCTGACTCACTCACCTATTTTTGACTCTTCCATGTCTAGGACCCCTCTCCGTCCTTTCCTGGGTTGCCTACTCCTCTCTTCCTTGTTTTGTGTTTGCTCACAGATCCATGTCCTGCTACCCACACCAGGCTCCACTCTGACATTCTGGACTCTCTTTTTCTTTTCTTTTCTTTTCTTTTCTTTTCTTTTCTTTTCTTTTCTTTTTTCTTCCTGCGTTTCATCCTTCCTCCCTTTCTTTCTCCCCCCATCCCCCAGCCAGGGTTTCTTTGTGTAGCCTTGGTTGTCCTGGAACTCACTCTGTAAGACTGCTAGCCTTGAACTCACAGAGATCCACCTGCCTCTGCCTCCTGAGTGCTGGGATTAAAGGAGTGTGCCATAACCACCTGGCGGCTCTCTTCTTTTTTCATAAATGATTTCTTGGCTGTGCTTGGTTCCTGTTTCCCTGATTTCATGCCATAGATCTTGTATTATGCCTTGGATAACCATGACACCCGGGTTGTCTTCTCCATCTGTAGGTGGAACCAATTAGAACTTAAGATAGCTGGTCCAG